CAGAAATGAAAATGGATTTGAAGACCAGAGAGAAAAAATGGCAGCGCCCAGCATATAGAGGGTCGCCTTGCTACAATTTCCTCCGGTTTATCAAACTTTCTGTTCGTGGAAACTCGAGGAAATTGTTTTGGATTGACGTGCTGATTTTCAACATTTGAATCAGCCTGCAGTTACGTCACGATACTGTGACAGAGTGACCAATCTACCACCTATTGAGCCATGACCACTGATGAACCAAGAATTTCTCTATGAAGATAGGTTGTGATCAGTAATTATTTGTGTGTTTACATTATGCCTACAATCGGAATACAAATATTATTGTTCCATACTGTTAACTCTGGTTCATACTTCCGCTCTTTGATAATGACGCGACTTCCGGCAAGTCTGCCTGCGTTCCAGTAATCTTTTAAAAAAAAGGGCTTTCTGAAGAAAATCCAGTGTTTGAAGTAATCCAAGATGTCGCTCTTCTATAGAATCCTCTTTTGAAGTGCTATACGGGTGATGATTCTATCCTTGAAAATGATTCAGGTTTTGATACCCACTAAATCTGGTCTCTGCTGGATATGTGCGGAAATTTTTCAACTAGTTCGACTGTCATCACACGGCTAATTCATAAGGGTAACCGAAGATTAATTGTACAGCAACCGCAAATGGATATCGTAAGAGCTGAGAATTTCAATCGACAAATTTGTACTATTGCAAACAGCCAATTGAAATCGTTTTTTGAGGCCAAATAATTTGGTTTGGGAAACTCAGATGCTGTATTGTGTCTGGAGAACAAACCAGCTGGTGCATATCAGTACCTTCCTTATTTCTCTACCATATTCAACGTTTCTCATCTATACCTCAACATGTGTTGCTCTGAATATTTACCCACTGCTTGTATGTTTCAGTGAACTTTGATTCTTTTCGCTTCAAGGATGATCTGGCAGTCGCTGCTATGCCTCATTTTATATCTTTCCCAGCATCCCGTCAGATGTTTTCCGCCCAGTTCGCTGATACGTAAGTTAAATCGGTTTCCCGTCTTCCAAGATAGTCACTAGTTTGTCATACAATTACCCGGCTCTGATGAGACACAGAGTTGTTGGTCAACGGTACTATTGGAAAAGAAGACGACCTTCGCTGCGGAGATATTTATCAGAAAATGCTGACTGAATAGTTACAGACTATTGGACAGGGAGCAAAACTCTCATATGCATCTTGTTTACAAAATTGAATATCCATGTTCTCCTTGAACGCATCTTGCTGAACTTCCCTGGATATTCATTCACTGTTGCTCAGATGCAAGCAAATGCGACTCCACATATTCCGTAATAGACCTCACTTTTCAAGAGACCCAAGGCGGACTTACGAGAAAACATACTACTCGCATGCCCTCCATCACTAGTATCACCGTTACACCATCAGTTTAATGATTGATTCATCATCATCATCGTTGACAACAACACCAGTTGTGGACACTGGTGTCAAAACAACGCCATTTTATATATAATGGAAAGGAAAAAAGCAGGATACAGAGAGGACACATGAGCTAGCCAACCACAAAACTCTGAGATGCCTAAACATTTGACATTCAGTCAGGCCAGCTGGATAGAATTTGACAGCATGAACACCACTCACGGCTAGCCGCTATATCTTTCAGTGTTCCCACTCAAGCACAGGGAGGGTCACGTGGACCACACTCTGGATTACAAACAGCATCAACAGCACACGAGCGTTCCATGTCCATTTCAGTCCACCTCTAGGTTTTCACCGCTTCCAATAAGGCACAGAAAACAATTCGGTATGCATAACATGGTTCATTCACCTGAGGTTGCACTCTGGATGTATTCTTTGACAAAAGTATCCTCTGCCTCAACAAAAAACATCTGATTATTCATTGCCGATTACAACTATAGTACTGAGACGTCATTGGTCAAAGACACGAATGTTGATCACTGCCTATCCCATACTTACTCTCTAGATTGTTTAACAAACACCACCCTTTCTGTTTCGGTGTATGCAATCCACCTTTTGTCTTTGTGGTGCCTTTGCGCTTCGTTTGATTTAACTCCGGTTCCAAAGACCCAAGCAAGAGACCTACCTGTCTATCACAACTATCGTATTAAATGATTGAAGCTTTGCTCCAAACAGCAAGAACGGTATGCTTGCTCGTAGGAACTACGGATGGATCAACCGGTACGAATGGGCTTAAAAATGTCAGTTCAATGAGTCTATGCTTTTAAAACGACGATGTTATCGGTTACTGGTTTCATGCGAAGAC